GATAGGACGGCCTAGTTACAGGCGCGTGTAAGAGCCTCCAACCGAATTTCAGGAGAATATTTACCCCATGTGCAGGAGGACACGTGTCGATAATATATTGGTTGATAGCGATAACCACCTCTGACAGCTCCCAACGCCCCGCGCCACCTCTGACATGTGTGCGGCGTGTCAGAGTACGGACGGGCAGCTTGGGCAGCCAACACATCCTTATCCGGGCAGCTATTAGGGCAGGTATCTCACCCCTATATAAAGGGGGTGAGTCTTTCTCCCTTAACATGATTTTCTCATTATTCACTTCAATATACTCATACATATACTGACTTAAGCATCGGAGGCTCTTCACCGGACACAACCCCCGTGTGAGAGTTATTTGCAGGTTTCTGGCGTTCTACCGCTGAGGACAAGAATCGATCTACCCCAAACCGGACCAGGACGTGCACACTTGCATTAAATATATATATGTATTGTACAAATGTAGGGAATGGAATTAGGAAATTAATATTTAACACTATTAATCAGAATTTTGTAAGTCTTCCTCGGATGACACAACAAACAAACATCCAACCACGTAGAAGATATAAAATATTTTCCAACTTATAAATTCAAATTTCATCAATATAATATGAAGGATGATAAGGGGATAAATATACAGTGTTGAGGAATCAAACATAGGTGAAACCCAGAAAAGTAATTAAAAAAATTAAATGAGAGATTGCGTGGTGTATCGTAAAAGGGGACCGACCCCTTTTTTCATTACAGTGTCTAGCTGAATTGACCCATTTCCCTCCATGGCCATGGGTCCATTTGTACTACTCTATTATTTATTATCTCTTCTGTAAATTCAATTATGGTTAATAATAATATATTAAATAAAAAATAAAGCCCAAAGATGACAAAAAAAAAAAAAAATGTATATCTTTATCGTGAGATCTTACAGTCCCGTACGGAACTATTCCGAAATTTATAACCATTAAATAAACTATTCCCGACGGTTACATGATGATCTAACGGTTAAATAAGACCTGAGTGACCGAATGGCTTAGTCATGACGTGAAGGTTTATGGTCGTGCCCAGAAATTCCCACAGCAATTGAAAGGTGTAAGACAACCCGATCGAAGTGCATCACATTTTCCGTCTTTATCTTTGTGTATGTATATATATAACACTAAATATTCTTTCCATTTCCCTGCTAAAAGCTTTTCAACGTCTTGTACGTGCAAGCGTCACTGCCAAAAAATTGGTAAATTTTCCATGTATGGAAATCTTCTAAAAATCCCACATGCACTAAATTAAAATCACACCCCCAAAAACACCCGCACAATTTTAACAGTTTTTGTACCGAATAAGCCCAATTTCGACCCAACCATGAATTCCGAAAACCCCCACAATCAGCTAAACAACAACAACCCATTACTGTTCTCATCCTCGGCGGAGGAACCGCCGCCGGAGACGGCGAAGAAGATGAAGAGGAGCCGGGAGGCAGGCCGCAACTCCTCCACGAAGCACCCGGTGTACAGGGGCGTCCGGATGCGGAGCTGGGGCAAATGGGTCTCCGAAATCCGGGAGCCTCGCAAGAAGTCGAGAATCTGGCTGGGGACATTCCCGACGCCCGAGATGGCGGCGCGTGCCCACGACGTCGCCGCCCTCAGCATCAAGGGCGCGTCCGCGACCCTCAATTTCCCGGAGATCGCGGCGGCCCTGCCCCGCCCGGCCTCCCTCAGCCCCCGCGACGTGCAGGCGGCAGCCGCCAAGGCGGCGGCGATGGAGGGGTTGGGGACCCCCGCCCCCACCTCGCGGCCGTCGAGCGCGTCTCTGTCCTCGTCGTCGTCGATGACGTCGCTGGGGTCCTCCGCAGAGCTTTCGTCGGCGTCGGAGGAGCTGAGCGAGATCGTGGAGCTGCCGAGCCTGAGCCCCTGTTTCGACTCGCTGGAGTTCAGGAACGACTTCGTATGCTTTGATAATGCAGCGGCGTTGGAGGGGTGGTTGGACCCGCCGGACTTCGAGACGCTGTTGTGGAATTATTAATTGAGAGCAGTTTGTTAATTTTGTGTGTTGTGATTTTAATTTTTTTTTTTGTTTTCATTTTCCAGTGTGTAGCTTATTTTTGTGTGGTTGATCGACCAATGAAGTCGTTATTTAGCTGAGGTGCCCTTTTCAATTTTACGTTTGAGGGCTTTTAAAAATAATTTGCTCAGTTTTCAGTCCCCAAACTATTCTCTGTGTTTCTTTGTGAACCCTTCCTTATCAATGAATCTAACTGTACAGTGTTTAAGAAACCTCATAAAACTCCAACTGCTGTTCAATCTATACATTTAATGTTTTCTTTTCCTCATAATTGAGCTTTGAGGAATTGGAAGAATGTGAGGATTTAGCTTCATTTCCTCTTTAATTTCTCTTATATTATTATTATTATTATTATTATTATTATTTTTTATAATTGAGCCATCGAGTTATATATGAAGGGTAGATGCTACAGTCCGGTTACGTAACCGTTAGATCTCATGTAACTGTTGGGATACTTGATTTAACGGTTACAAACTCCGACGAAATGGTTACATAATGAGACCGTAATATTTTCCTATATAAAGTCACGATTCGCAAGTCTTTCTTTTCCCTGTAGTCTAAGTATAGAGTTCAACCATTTATGACAATATAATATAATGGGGAAAATTAGGACAGAACTTTATTTTTTCAGGAAACAAATTTCACCAAAAGAAGAAGCTGGATTCTTTTGAGTTTGTTATATTTCAACATTTAAAGATGCTGGCAATTACGCACATTCGCCTTGTTTACTTTTTGCCAAAGCTTATTCAAGAAAATGTCATCAAATTCGCGAATCTCCAACATTAATTCGTACTCACTTACAATCCACATTTTACAATTTTATTTTTATTTTTTTTCCAGATTTTAGTTTTGGGTTTAGGGAAGATATCGACTTTCTGAGATTAGAGATTGTTTCTTATGTTTGGCAAGCTGGAGGTGGGTAGTTTATCTGTATTTGCCAATGTTCTGAAAACCGAATCGGTCATCGAATCGGTAAAGCTATCGGTTTAATGGTTCACTGGTCAGATCAGTGGTCGAACCGATCGAATCTGTTTTATTAATATATAATTTTTGTTTATTTTGTATGTATCATATATAATTTTATGTATTTTTATTATTAATTTTTAGTGTGCAATGACATTTTCAAAATAAATAAAAGAAAAAAATAAAAATCGAATCATGCATATTTTAATTATTTTAGCTATCATGCCTTACTCCAAGTGCAGGCTTATGACAAATATGCATTGTTTTATTTTTTCTATATTTTAGAAAAAGATTTTTGATGGCAAAAACCAATTAAGTGTTATGAAATACGGGGAATATAAAGAACACAATGTATAAAAATTGGATATAAATTGTAACAAACTTTCTTTCTTTCTTTCACTTCACTTTCGTACATCACAACAGTTACACTACATGTGTTGCCTTTTTATAGGCAAATTTGGCACACAATTCAAGAAAATGATAACATAATAATAGTATAAAAGTGATAAGATTATAGTGGATAATTCCACATATTTACAATACTCCCCCTTGGAATTACCACTATTAAATGTGCGTTTATGCTGCCTCGTTAAAAACCTTATCGGAAAAACCCTGTGGGAAAAAAACCGAGATAAGGAAAAAAGAGTACAGCCGCACATACTCCCCCTTGAATTATCATCCGTGCAAATTCCGAAGATGCCTCATCCCAATATTGTGCACGTGCTTTCGAAATATTGTCGTCGGAAGCGCCTTCGTAAACAAATCTGCTGCATTATCGCTTGATCAAATGTATTGAACTTTGATTTGTTTGTTTCGTTTAAGCTCTTGCGCATATAAGAATAACTTTGGCGGGATATGTTTAGTTCTGTCACTCTTGATGTATCATTCTTTGGTTTGAGCGACACATGCTGCATTGTCTTCGTATATCACCGTCGGGTCATTATTGTTCGATAGTCCACTGGCTTGTTGAATATGTTGAGTCATGTTTCTGAGCCAGATGCTTTCCCTAGTTGCTTCATGAAGTGCAATGATCTCAGCATGGTTTGAAGACGTCGCAACTAACGTTTGTTTCTGAGAGCGCCAAGAGAATGCAGTTCTGCCAATCGTAAAAACGTATCCAGTTTGAGATCTTGCTTTATGGGGATCTGAGAGATATCCTGCATCTGCAAAACCGATTATTTCATGTTT